CTACCTCCTACTACTCCTCCTACTACTACTACTACTACTACCAACAACTACTACTACTACTACGACGACTACTACTACTACGACTACTACTACTACTACTACTACTACTACTACTTTTATCATCAACACCACCACTACGACTGCCACTACTGCTGCCAACGCCATTGCCACTACGCTGCCATTCAGACTGCCACAGGCTGCCACAGGTCTACAGCATCCTACGTTCGAGCTTGCATCGGAATTGAAACCATGCAACCCCTCGGAAGGTCGACGGCCTGTCTCTGAGTGACATTCTGCTTCTCCATCCCAGCATCACTGGTGTGAGGGCACAACAGACCCCTGCCGCTGCCTCGTCCGATGCGACACGTGCCGCAATCTGACCACTCCCGAAGGTCAGCAACATGGAAGCCGGAAGCATCTCGGCCTGAGGCGGTGCAACTCGAGAACTGAAACCAAAGAAGACCTGGGCCGAGGCCTGTGCCTTGGAGCCCAGCAAAGGGTCCTGCGACTTGTATTTTGGCAGGTCGAAGGTTTTGGACTTCCCATTGCCTCAGGAAGGAAAGCCACCACAACATTTCCCCCACGCCCGCCCCTGCGTACTGCGTCCGGCCTGTAAAGCATTTGCCCCAATCATGCGGGCACTGGGAACACTGGCAGTCCATCACGATGCAGTTGTTGCTGCCTGAAAGTCAAAAGACACTGCAAGCGATCCAACGAAGACCATTTCTCATCTCTCAGTGTCTGCACATGGTTGCTACTGCCGAACCTGTGTCTGCTACGAGCTCGAAGGTCTGAGACGGCGTTCCCACGTCTACCTTCGCACAGGCATCTGCATCTTTGCCAATGAAACTGCTGGATCCACAGCAGACCGACACCTGAAACCCAAACAAGAATCGTCCACTCGGACGTCGGAAGCTTTGTCAGGCACACTAAATATGGCTCTCATCCGTGGACCGAACCTGTTCTGCTCTGAAGCACCGCCTCACTTAACAAGTGAGAAGCGCTTATTCAATCATGCCAAGGCACAGGAACTGAGGAATAAGTCTCATGGTTGCGGAGTGGAGAGCAGGTCTCCTCCTGGTCGTGCACTGCCAAATCCTCGGTCATCTCTTGCCCCATTTGCCCCAGGAAGGGATCAGGCCACTGAATGCATAGTCAGAGCATTCAGAGGTTAACCCTTCATCTTCCACATCTGTCAGTAGAGGCTGTGGCCGAAGTTTCCATTCTGTCGCACAAACATTGGGGGGTTGCGCCCCTTCGCAACAAACCCCCCGCAACTTTTGCCGCTCGTGGCCGGCAGGCTTGCAAAATCGCCAGCAGCCCCAACAAACACCAGCTTTCCTCCAACACTGCATGACAGGTTTGGCTTCTTCATAACACATCCAGCTGCCCCAACGAGCCCCAGCAACGTTGACCTGCCTGAACAAGCTCATGGAAAAAGCTAGGTCTTTGTAAATCCATGTGCCTGTGCATAAACGTGAACACATGGCAATTGCAGGAAGCACATGGATTTTCTGGCAGAGTTCAGGTTCCTAGCAATGTCCAAAGAAAGCATGTGATTCTACACTGAAACACCCAGGCCCCAAGTACTTTACAAAAGTCACACATCATCTGCTGCATATGTTGCCTAGTGGGCGGAAAATCTGTGATTTCGTTCTCCAGATGTAAGGCCATGAAAAATGGAAACGTGAGCCGCGAGCTTTGCCCAGGTCAACATTTCTCTGGAAACACGAGATGGAAAGCTAGGAGTTCGTGCGTCTTCCACAGAGGAAAAAGCTACGCCTGCCAGCCGAGCATCTTTCAAGCAGACACAAGGATGTTTGTGGGGGAAACTCAAAGACTGGAGCAAGCTCCCAAGAACTCAAAGGCAATCCTGGTGGAAACGAACTTCGCCGAGCCCACAATCGTGAGGCTGAGCTTGTTTCTTGTTTCTTCGAGAATCAGCAGCTTTAAGCAAGCCCGAACTAGCGTTCCCCCCAACAGACCCAACAACTTTATCCCGTCATGTCCGGCGGATTTAGCTTCCAAACCGCATAGTGCCACAGAGATGCCTCAGCATGTCTCTTCAAGAATCGGCCCTGGCAGAGGGAAGATGCCAAAAGTGGAAGCAGGTAAAGTGCGCCTGGCACAGGGTCTTCTGACAGCAACGCGAGTTCCGGACGCAAACGTCGCACGAAGTTGCACCCAGATTCCGTACCCGGCCAGCCTTGCATGGTTCGAAATCGGATAGCCTCAGATTTCCGAGATGGTAGTATGATGTCAGCATTCCAGCCGGAACGTCGATTGCTGCATGGCACATTGGCATGAACTCTCTGCCATCCAGGCTGCACGAATGGAAATGGTTGTGTAGTGCGTGATTCGCAGCTTGAGCCAAGAGTCATGAAACAAACCACCGGCGTCATGGCACTTAGCTCGAAGCAACAGAGTCTTGCACGGACCGGGAATCTCGAAGACGTAGCTGGAACGTGCCGAGCTTAAACCCTGGAAGCCCTCACCATAAAGCCCAGTTCTGTCGGCACTGAAGCATGCTAATCCTGCGAGTGAGTCGAACTTTGTATCAAGAACCCAAGACGGCTCTCCAGCAGCGCAACGTTGGCCTCTTCATCTTTAGCGCATGCCCTGGGAGAAGACCGAGGTCCTGGAACTCCACGAAACGATCCCGTCGGCACGAGTTTCCGTCGACCTGACCCCGCTGCGTGGCCTGGAAATGCTGCTCTTCCATGGAGCTGAGGGTCTCCATGTCATGGTAGCCCGCAGCCTGCCGTGGGACGCCCAGCCAACGGAGTGGGCCCAGTGTGACTCCGGTAGGAAAGGAGATGCAGGCCTCAGAGCGCGCAGCAGCGTAACTAGTAGATGACGACTCCCGAAGGCAGATTGGTTCGGGGACTGGTGGCCCAAATCGCGGAAGCAGACGGTCCCCAGGTTTTTCGGCAGCAGCGACGAAAGTAGCGCCACAATTGTGGTAATTTGCGGGTCAGACCTTCATGCACCACGATTGCCTGAAAGTCCTCTTCTTCGTCAGCAGCAAAGCCACCCCAACATAAAACAGATCGCGAAAATGATCAAATCTTCAAGCGCCGTGGTTGCTGTCCGTTCTGTCTCGGCAGCAACAAACCCAACACCCAGCAGATGAACACCGCCGGGCTATTTCGCAGAAATAACAAAGCCAACAACATCAACCAGCAGCATCGCAGCACGAAAGGGGTCAATGCTGCACACATGCAAGCTTGCCTCTGCCTCGTTAGCAGCAATAGAACCGAATCAAAGAAGTGAAATAGTCGGCGATTGAGGCTCAGATCACAGAAGCAGCCGACCACCTTGGAAAACACCGAACCCCTACACCCCTTAACCGCCTTAACCCTCAAGTCGAAAATCCTTGAGCCTTGAATCAAAGGGTAAGGCCTTAAGCCAACGCCCATGTCTGTTTTATTCTGAGCCACGCCTATGATCCGCGCTGCCGGTCTTGCTGATTTGATTAGCACAACGTTCGTTGGAACATGTCTGTGAGAGGAGCCTCGATGCGCTTGGAGTACTGCGACAGGGCAGCCTGCAGGGACCCCAGGAGGAGCAAAGCGAGAGTTCATCAGGTTGTGACCCTTGTGACGAACCTGGTTCAACCCTGAAACTCGATATCTCTCGACTCTTTTTGCCTTTCTCTTCGGCCTTCGTTCCGAAGACAACAGACCTGGAAGCCCCTTTGTGCCCCGGCGCCTCTTCAAGGAAGGATGCCACCGGACCATTGACGCCCTTCCGTGCAAAACGTCATGGAAGGTTGCTGTGGCAAAGACTACATGTGCTCGCATCGTTCCGCCTGGCTGCCGACTGGGCGCACCTCAAACTTGAACAAGGAATTGCAAGTTAAGGTCTGTAGAGCTTGTACATCCTTTGCAGATGCCAGTGGGACTACCATGCTTCACATAAGAACGAACGCCGAGGCTGACCATATTGAATTCTTTCGCTTGCAACCGATCTGTGACCGGGTACGCTTCAACGGAGCTCCGACCGAGACGCCCCGAGCGTCAGCAGCTGCTGCTCCAGCGCGGCGACCCGAGCACGCAACTCCTTCCACTTCACTCGGCGTCGGTTGTTTCATCCTTTCGCCGAAACTTCGCTACAGCGACAACAGCCAGGCAGCACCTTCTGAGCGACGGAATCGGCCGCCGCCACGTTGTCCACAAAACTCGAGAAACTCCCACGCGGCATGGCGCTTTGGGATGCGCTTTTGGAACAAACTTTGAGGTCCATTCTGATTCTGTCCATTCTGTGCCACGAGCGCTAGCCATGCAAAGCGAGTGCTGTTCTGTCTTTGATGTCGGGCGTGCGCTCGAGCACTGCCTACAAACACCCTTCGCCTTTGAGCAAGAACAAGGTAGCAAGGCATGCTTCCTGATATGGCCTGCTTCCCGTGGGTCATGAGCTTCACAATGTCCCGGCATCTTTCCTCGCTGCTAAAACAGCGTCAGCTGAAGGCTGCCGGACACCGTCTCGCCTGTATCAGTGGGGATGTCAGGCATGAGTGAGCCCTAATCTTGTGCGGAGCGTCCGTGAAATGCAACCAATGTAGTCAAAACTCATCTGGAAACAAGCGGATCATCATGCTGTCCCCATCACCTGGCTGTAGAGCTATTTCAGTCGGCGCGAGAGTCTTGAACTGCATCACAGATCCTGCCGAACATGAGGATGCTGGGACCACGATTACCACAGCAAGTTCACCGTCATTGCTTTTCTGCGAGAGCCTGATGATGCGGACTTCACGACAGAGAAGCCCATCGTCTCCAAGCGAACACCTTTCTGCCGCATGGTGCCGAACTGAAATACACAAAAAAAATCTGCAATGGCCTGTCTTGTCGAAGGCGTCTTTGGTGCCATCCTGGTACCCACCGACCCCGCCGACGCTTCCGGCTGCCTTCCGACACATTGCCCACAGACACTCATGCCAAGTCGCATCACGTCTGAAGGGCTAGGGATGCCTCGTTGCAGCAAAGGCTTCCTTGCAGGCCGACGTCGGGAAGAGGCAGCCTCTGCCGGTTCGTGGAGCTGACGTCAAGACCAGAGACACCTTCAGGTTCCGAGCGGAAGGATGCGACTCCGCTTCGCACGCCGCTCGTCCGCCACACCTGCAGGATCCTTGGCGAGATCGCAGGCTGGCGGAGATCTGCAATTCGCTGTCAGAAGTCTGTCCTCTTCCTCTTCCCACTCCATCTCCTCGCCACCTGCATGGGCCACCTCGTTGACTCATCACTTCGAAGCTTTTCGACCAAAACACACACACGAACAAAGCAGCACCTCCAGGCTCAACGCCAGTCTTCCGGCCCAGAGCCGCACCTCAGCCCTGGAACGCACCTCCACTGCAGGGCACCAAGAGACTCTCAGTTTGGGGAAGTGAACCCAGGCAGGCAGCACCGGCACGCCGTCAGCCGACCGAGCCTGCCAAGCTGTGGCTGTCGTAAGATGCCTACGAGATACCAGTGTCGCGCATGAAGAGCTACTGATGTTACATCCGAGTCGACTTGACAGAAAAGTCGCACCAAGGCCAAAACCGTCCTTGGTCGATCGTTGCTCCAACAACTCAATCAGCATCGCGCGCTTTTAAAATAAGCAAGTCCGAACCCAGACACTGACGGGAACCCACGGCACTACTCCCGGCCTCTGCGAAGGCAGAGAAGGCGAGCGAGTCGCCATCACCCCCGCCGCCGACCAGGCTCTCGATGCTGGGCAATGCAATGCTTTGTACAAGCTACGAGTAGCTAGCTCTCTCTTTTTCTCTCCCTCTCTCTTCCCCATATAGGAAGCTCGATCTTGGCAGCTGTCAATCGGATCGATTTGGATTGAAGGCCCAGTTGAAGGTCCACGAATTGAATCACAAACTTGGGATCAAGTAAAGCGTCCTCCAAACTTCGACATGCATAATTGTGGCCAGCTGGCGTCCAGTCAGTCGACGCAATGATGCCTTCCAAACCTTAGTACGACGAAAACCTCTACGTCTCTGCGTGGCCATGGCATGCCACCACTAGCTGCACCTGCAACCCTCCAACTCCGCCACCCAGCTTGGTCGCAAGCCATGAGACAAAAGTCCTCCATCAGGACCTCAAGACAAAGATGGCGGCACCGCTAGCAGACTTACAGACTGGCGAGCAAACCGGACCGTCCCCGCCTTCTCTCCTGTCACTGTATCTACTTCCTTTGCCTCGTAGCGTAATGCCTTCAAGCTCCTTCAAGCAGCCACGAGCCTCCTGCCAGCCTTTCAACGCCGTCGGCTCCTTTCCATGTGGTCACCCTGACTCCTGGAAGGGAAACCTGCGTGGACAAGCAGCTGAAACTACACGCTGAAAAAGACTGTGCAACAAACAAAAACTCTCACCATGATTTCGCTACACATCAGCAGCAGTCGAAGCGGATCCATACTCCGACGATATTCTAGCATGAAATGCGATGTGCACCTGACAGCTGCCACCGGCAGGATGCGTCAGCGTCGCCATGGGCGCACCATCCTGAACAAGACAAGTCTCGACTTGCCCGTCGCATGAGAACTGGGAGCTGCAATTCTCGCAGTGACATGTTGGTTCATTTTTTCGGAAAAGGGCTGAAACCCTGCGAAGTTCAATGCAGCCCAGGTGCTGGGCCCAATGACACCGCAACATTTCCGGCCTCTGGCTACCAGCAAATGCAGAACATGCCCAAAAGCCATGCATGACATCATGGCAAAACACAGGCTCGTGCCAAGAGTGTTGCAGGTGCACGGCTCATGGCTGGTCCCGAAAACACTGAAGTCGATCCCTGCTCGACATCTCCCGCGGGTCTGCAACGCACCAAAGTTAAGCCACTATTAAATGCTGTTCTCGCATTGAGTTGTGAAATGCGAGGCATACGAACTCATGGGTTGAATCCGGACACATGCATCTCGATCCATTTCCAGTTTGAGCAACGCAGTAAGCTGCGCACGAATCTCTTTGAAACAGCAAGCAATTGCAAACATACGAGCAATCACACAAAACTTTGGCCTGTAGTTGTTTCTGTTGTTTTCAAACCCTTGCCATCCAACCCCTTGCTGGCGTCGTTCTTGGTCGTTCTTGGGATCTCTCGAGTCATGTTTGCGGCATCCAACACATGATGTACACTGTTTGGGCGCCACCTAATAGGTGCCAATGTAGAACTTTAATCCTTTTCCTCCCATGTGTACCATCATGAATCATCGGTATTTCTCGAGTCATGTTGAAACGAAGTTCCTGGCATCTTCCGCTTGCCTCCAGAGATGCTGAAGAGATATCTTAGCTAAACACGTAGGACACCGACGTGCTCAAGGAAACAAGCAAACAAACACTGAGCACTGCAGCGCACTTGTTCTGGCTTGAGCCAAACATGTCAGCTCGATGTCCCACACTGTTGTTTTAACATGTTTGACGCATAAATCACGGGTACCAATAACTCCCTTCTCTAGAAAGATATCGTCAAACTGATTGTGGGGATAAATACTTCGAATGTCTGATAATATTTCTTGACAATCACAAGAGCCTGTCAAATGTTCTCAGCGTCGTTGCCTGCAATCGCAAGTGCTGCTGCAACTGGTCTCTGATCATCAATGTGTCAAGCAAGTCCACTCAATGCGGTTCGTTCTTTTCTCATGCTTATTCAGCTTTGCTTCGCGACAATGAACTCAGCCAGCTTCGAAATGGGCGTCTTTGAACTGATGCTCAAGCAATCGACTTTACAAGCTTACACCTTTGTCTGCTTGGCAATGCAAGCGCCCATGCAATTGTTTCCAAGTTAGTTAAACAGTACAACTCTAAGCGGTCACGCTTTTCCTCGTTGAACCAAAAGGCGCTGCGTCGTAGCCATGCGTTTCATGGGCTCCAACAAAGGTGTGGGGTAACTATGCAATACTATACACATTCCCA